ATAATAATTAAGTATTCTGTTAGAATTTAATGATTATACTAATTATATTTTAGATTTTTCATATTTAAAATGAAATGTGTATCATGTATTTGATTGTGTTTATCTGCAGTTAGTTATACGAATTCATATATAGGATGAAATCGGATAGGGATGAACGGGTTTAAGAGTTTTTAAGAGTTTTAAGAGTTTTTAAGAGTTTTAGCCAAATGCATTATAAGATAGTATAGATATTATTTATTATTATTATTTATAAATAAATAGTAATAAAATTTAAATATCTATTAAAAATATTAATTAATATAAATTGAAAATTAATTATTAATTAATTTTAATTATACATTATTCATTAATATTATTTATTAATTATTTACAATATTATTATTTATTGATTAAATTACACCAAAATAGAACAAACTTTCACCTGATTCCTATTTTGGAAACCAACTTTCAAAATCGTCATTTATGGGTCTCTATCAAACTTTTTGTTTATTTAAGGGTCTGGTTGACCTGTTAACCTGTTAATGCTGATATCATCCAGATTTTTTGCCAACTAAGATATTCCACGTTATATTAATTTTTTATTTTAAAACTAATATTTCACGTCATGTTTAAAATTGCAAAATAAATATAGAAAAATAATTAAAATTCGTTTTTTTCCAAAAATTAGTTCAATAAAATCTATTTTTCATTTCAAAAATTAATTAAAATTAGTTTTTTTGAAGTAAACTGTACTAAATTTGAACCTAATTTTTTTTAAAGGCAAAAAAAGAAGGACAAAGAAGAGAGCTACGACATGACCATCACCCTCATCAAGCCAACCAATATATTAAACAAAAAGATCCAACAAGAAACTAGAAACAAGGAGATACAAAAATCCAACAAAACAAGCGAGAACAACAGAGCAAGACCGAACAGCCCCAAGACCGAGGCAAGACCCAAAAACAAAGACAGACAAAAGAGATTAAACAAGATAAGGAGAGGAAGACCAACTATCCCAATTAAAATGGAACTTACGACTCCTATTACCCATCCAAAGCTTGGATAAATTTGAACCTAATTTTATTCTATAAAATTCATAAAAAGGACGGTTTAGGAGTTTATACTTACTAGGGAAGTACAAATAATTATAACAAAAGGTTGAAATAAATTATTCATATTTTAATTACTGATATCCATTTGAAGATACATATATAAACCCATATTTAAAGATGTATACATAAAAACAAATTATTTATCAATCATTTATTTTCACATTATACCCTATCTTGTATCATTTCATACTTAATAAACACCATGCTTATTTAAACGCTTATTTTATGAGTCAATTGACATTTTATACTTTCTAAAAAACAGCAAAAAAAGGATAATTGTAATAATACACGTTTTTTATAATAATACACGTTTTTTAAGCGAAGGATGACAAAAGTATCATTCAGCGCCAACTTATTTATCCTAATTAATCATTATTAATTACAAAAATATCATTTTCAATCCACACTGTAAATAAATACTTAAAAATGCGTGTTTGACTCTCATTAAAAGACAAACTCTTTTAATCATATACTAAAACACGAAACTTTAAAGATAATTATATATATATTTTTTGGAGGTCCTGAATAGTAGTCCTCTAGATACAAAAGCTTCATTCAGTTTAGGAGCCGTTTACCAAACGCTTATTTGGGTAAGCGCTTACTAAGTTATACAACATTATCGGATGAATATGGTAATGACCAATAATCTTACCCGATAAGAACGAGACAAGGACCAAGAGTCTTACCCGGTAAGTGAGGGCAATGACTCTTACCACGGTAAGCGATTACCGAGTAAATTGTTGCATACGATGTCGTTTTGGTGAACCAAAATCTTACCCGGTAAGTAAATGATAGTGTTAAATTT